CGGTGACCCTTCCTTTGCCAGTGCTGCCAGATCTGTTGGGATTTTCCAGCAACTTCTGTTTTGTTTCTGACAGCATCCACAGTTCTTTCAGGTTTTGCTGAGACAGAGATGTTGGCCAGGGAACAAGGTGGTATATTGAGTTGGCAGGCATCTGGAAGCTCAGGGTCTTTTTTTTTTTGCAAGCAAAATGAAGGTGTTCTGCGAAGCGGTCACCCAGTCTACGCTTTGTTTCCCCATTGTACAGGAAACCACATTGTGAGCAGTGAATACAATAGACTTGATTGAATGAAGTGCAGGCAAAGCGCCTCTTGACCTGGAAGATGAGTTTGGGCTGTTGGATACCGAGGAGGGAGAAAGTAAACAGGCAGGTGTTACACCTTCTGTGGTTGCAGGGAAAGGTGCTGTAGGGTGTTTTGGGAATGAAGGAGCAGTGGACCAGGATGTCACGGAGGGAATGGTCCTTGCAGAAGACTGACAAGGGAGGAGAGGGGAGTGTGTGTCAAGTCGTGGCATCCCACTAGAGGTGGTGAAAATGGCAGCTAATGATTCTCTGGATGAGGATGCTGTTTGGATGGCTATGTGAGGACAGAGGGGACCCTATCACTGTTGTGGGAAAGAAGAGGGGCTGAGGGCTGAAGTTCGGGAGAAGGAACAGACCAGCTGAGGGCCATGTCAACGATGGTACTAAGAAAGTGGACATTTTGGCAGCACCCTTGTAGAAGTTAGCATCATCAGAACACATACAACGGAAATGGAGAAACTAGGAGAATGGAATAGAGTCTTTATAAGAAGTAGGGTATGAAGATGTATATTCAAGGTAACTGTGGGAGTCAGTTTGTTGAACACTGAACCTTTCTTCTGTCGCCTTCACGTCCAAGCCCACTTCTTAGGACAAGAGTCCTCTCCAACACTCTCCCTCCGCCAGGACCACTCCCTCTAAACTTCATCAAGAACTGTCGACATAACGTTGGTCACCTATATTTCTCTGCCACCCCACCCCCACCCACCACCCCCACCCATTCCAACCAATCTTCCCATGAACTGATTGCACTCCGTGCTCTCAGATCCAACCTGACTTTATAATTAAGCTTGCTGACAAGGGTGGTGCTGTTGTTGTCTGGCGGACTGACTTCTACATTGCAGATGCTGAACGCCAGCTCGCAGATACCTCCTATCTCCCCCGGACCATGACCCTGTCATGGAACATCAGGCTACCATGTCCACAATGGTCACTAACCTCATTTCATCTGGTGATCTACTCACTATTGCTTCCAAGCTCAGTCTCCCACCCCTGCACAGCTCGCTTCTACCTCCTTCCCAAAATTCACAAATAGGACTGCCCAGGCAGACCATTCTTTCTGCCTGTTCCTGTCCCACAGAACCTCTCTTCCTATCCCGTCTCAGTTTTTGTCTCCCTTGTCCAGTCCCTTCCCAATTACTTTTGCGATTCCTGTGGCTCTTCATGTCAGTTTCCGATTTTCCAGTTTTCAGGCTCCAGTTGTCTCCTCTTTACCATGGACATGTGATCCTTTTACGTGTTCACCCCCATCAGGATGGTCTCCGGGGTCTCTGCTTCTTCCTAGAAAAAAGGTCTGAACATTCCCATCCACCAACTCGCTCTGTCTGGCTGAGCTCGTCCTCACTCTGAACAACTCTTAACTCTTCTCACTTTCTTCAGGTTAAAGGGGTGGCCACGGATACCTACGTGGGTCGCAGTTTTAAAATTTATTTGTGGGGTACATGGAACTTTCTTTCCTTCTGACCTATTCCGGCCCCCACTTACAACTCTTCCTCTGGTATATTGATGATATGATTGGTGCCGTTTTCCTCTCCTGTCCGGAATTGGAAAAGTTTATCAATTTTAGTTCGAATTTTCACCTCTGTCTCACCTTCGCCTCCATTTCTGACTCTTCCTTCCCTTCCCTGACATCTGTTTCCATTTCTGGAGATGGGCTGGCCACTAATATCCACTACAAACTAACTGACTCCTAGAGTCACCTTGACTATACATCTTCACATCCTAGTTCCTGTAAAAACTCTATTCCATTCTCCCAATTCCGTTGACTCTATTGCATCTGTTCCAATGATGGCAACTTTGACAAGAGGGTCTGCGAAATGTCCATGTTCTTCCTCTGCCAAGCGTTCCCCAGAACTGTAATTGACAGGACCCTCAGCCAAGTCCGGCCTATCTCCCACATTTCAGCCCTCACCCCCTCTCTTCCCTCCGACAACAGCGATAGGATCCCCCTTGTCCTCACCTACCATCCCAACAGGATCCACATCCAGAAGGTCATTAACTGCTATTTCTGCAACCTCTAGTGGGATTCTACCACCAGACACATATTCCCCTCCCTCACTCGTCAGCCTTCTGCAAGGACTGTTCCCTCTGGGACATCCTGATCCACTATACCTTCACTCCCAACAACCCCCATAGCCCACGGTACCTTCTCCTGCAACCACAGAAGGTATAACACCTGGCCCCCTACTACCTCCCTCCTCAGTATCCAAGGGTCCAAACGTATCTTCCAGATGAAGCAGTGCTTTATTTGCTCTTCACTAAATGTAGTCTAGAGCATTTGTTGCTCACCATGTGGTTTCCTGTACTTTGGGAAAACAAAGCATAGACAGAGTGACCACTTCACAGAACACCTTCTTTCTGTTCACAAAAAAAATAGACCCTGAGCTTCTCGTTGCCTGCTACTTCATCACACCACCTTGTTTGCTGGCTAGCATCTTTGTCTCAGGTTTGCTGCAGTGCTCTGGTGAAGCTCTGCGCAAGCTGGAAGAACAGCACCTTATTTTCTTCTTGGAAACTGGTCTGAATATGGAGTCCAACAGTTTTAGGGCTTAAGGCACGTTCTCCCTTGTCCTTACTCCAACCTGCACTTACCAAGCCTTGTTATCATATCGTCTCCTATTACACACTACTCCCTGTTAGCCCCTAGAGTCTACATTAACAGATAATCATTCTCCTTGGCTTGCATTATCCACTCTCTTGTCCAACTGTTTTTCTGTCTCTTTGGGTTCTAACTCCCCCTATTATTTACTCCATACCCCCTCCCCCCATCCTATCTTCTGCATTAAGAAAAAACTTTTTCCTAGCTACCATCAGTTTCTGAAGATGGGTCACTGGACCCGAAATGTTATCTTTGATTTCTCTTCACAGTTGCTGCCAGACCTGCTGAGATTTTCCAGGAATTTCTGTTTTTGTTTTTTCATTAGGACTGATGCAAGCATTTTATTAGGATAATGCTCCTCTATCTTTGCGCTGCAGCGCATCTGGCAGGTGCAATAGAACAAAAAGGGATGGACACATTTTATCCAGTTTTGGATGCAAAAATGGCACAGGTAGCAAGCCAGCCATGATAAATTCAGATCTGAATTTATTTATAAAGTCACAAAAGCATCTTCAGTCAAATTCCTCCCTTAGGTTGGTCACAAGTCATATTTACATATCCCTGCTATCATTTTCAGTTTAGCCTTTGTCAAAAATCTGAAGTTGTTTAATGAGATCAACAGCAAATTTCATGGTGAATGATTGGTTTCCCAACTGTTCAACAGTGGACCAAAGTGTTGGAGTTTCTCTCTGGAATGGTTCTGCAAGGCATCCAGTAGTTTCCACCAGATCTGGGACAATGCGCATGCTTCATTCTCCAACCATTTCCCTTGCACAATTGATTGTCATTCAGAAATTAGATTATATCAATGCTACTTAGAGGGAGAGGAGTAGGAAGAAATTTAAATGCCAGTGAAATGCAATGTTATCACAGTATAAGTTCAGGAATTACAATCAAATGAGTCATTATCCTATCTACTGTAACTGAATGCATCACCCAGAAAGGAAATACCTTGACCTAACAGGGCAACATTATCTATGGCAGTGTCTGTGGTTCTGAAGAAGATATTAAATCTGTTTCTCTCTGCATAGCTGCTGCCAGACCTTCTGAGTTTTTCCGCTACTCTTTGTTTTTATTTCAGATTTCCACAATATTTTCTTTCTATTATTTGAGGCATCTGATTCATCAGGGAGAGTGTGGCAGAATTGTGAAACATGCTGCAGGAAAGTCTGTAGACCTAGCAAAGGCAGAAACTCCTAATGAAATTAAGCAGGGGAAATTGTCCAGTGTCTTGGCAAATACTTTTACCTCAAATCAACATCACAAACATTATCTGGTCATTTTCTAATTGCTGTTTATTGGAGCTTGCTGTATACAAATTGGCTGCTGCATTTCCAATGCTATAACAGTGATTACAAGAATACTTAATTAACTATAAAGCACTGAGATTTCTTGATGTTATAAATGGTGTTTTAGATTACAAGGGGACCCTGATTTACAGGCATCCGACTTGCAAACATGCTTCCTTTTAAGTGGTTGTAATTTAAAAGTCTCGACATACAAACATTTCCCCTACTTATGAGCAATTGCTTTTCATTGCCCTGCATTGTGTTTGGACTTGTGTACAAACCAACTTGCGAAAGAATCTAGATCAGAACCCATTCTCAACCCAGGGACTATGTGCAGATTTGAATCTTCCACACTCGCCTCCTTTCAATTTCAGAACACATCCTCTGGTTCTAATGTTCTAGATATGGTGAAACTTATTATAATGTTCTACATATTTAGTTCATTTAGATTCTTAAAAACAAAAGTCTGATTACTTGTCAGTCTTTTTCAGTGAGAATATGCCCAATTTGGATCATATCTACTTCTCATAGTCCAAATACTTCATCCCCAAAGTTATTCTGGTGGCTGTTTTTCTATCTTTAAATAAGTTGAAATGTGAAATATGGCCAGCAGTGTATGTCATTAACTCTATTTGGATACCAGAATGATTTATAATTTTGTAGGTTTGCTTCACAATTTCAGATCAGTATTGACCCTTGAAGACCTCTGATGACTTTACTAATTTATCAGATTGCTAAAATAGCTTCCATTTATTATCAATCATTTCATTCATGGAGCTGAGCTCATTAACAACTCAAATTATTTATCTAATAGGTGGTGTTCTCTCTGCACTGTGTAATGTTTCTGGGCGCAAGCATCCATCAACAATTCAAGCAAAACATTTGAAGACATGTCTACCCCTGATGCCTGTTATGCTCCATCTTGTGACAGCTCAGGTACTCTAATTGAGGCACTCATCTGGTAACTGAGAAGAGAAAAAGGTTTGATCATTGAAGGCTCCTAATGGTGAAGAATCGAATTTAATTTCTGTGTTTCTCTCTCTCTCTCTCACACACACACTCTCTCATAGCCAACAAATTAATTTAAATAGTAAGCACAAACCTGTGCATTACCCTGTTATATCTGAAACATCCCCCTACCTTGTAGTTCTGCAAAATGGAAGATAATCATGCAAATCTCCAAACGATTCTCATGTTTGTGTGGAAATTGGGACTGAATAACAAAGTAAACTAAATGGCCCAGATCTTACCTTCAGAGGAGTTGTCTGCCAACTTCTGGGCCAGGAATCTTTCCAGCTGAAGTAATCTACTCCAGGCCATGAATCCAAATGAGAATACTAAAAAGAACCGTGGATGCTGTAAGTCAGGAACAAAAACAGAAGTTGCTGGAAAAGCTCAGCAGGTGTGGCAGAATCTGTGAAGAAAAATCAGAGTTAGCATTGCAGATTGGAACTGATGGTAGCAAGGTAAAATGTCATTTTATATGCAGAAGACATAAAGTGGAGAGGGGGTAAGGAGTAAATGATAGGTGGTGTTAGAGCCCAAAGAGAGAGAAGAACAGTTGTACAGACAAAGGAGTTGATAATGATCTGGCTAGGAGGGTGAATAGCTGTTAATGGGGACTGTTGGTGACTAACACTAGGTAGTGTGTAATAGCAGTGTGATATTTGTCCAACCATTCTTCTCTTTGGGCTCTATCCCCAAGTCTTGTTTAGTCCTTACCCTTTCCCCCCACCCTATCCTCTGTATATAAACCGACATTTTCCTCGCTACCATAAGTTCTGAGGAAGGGTCACCAGATTCACAACGTTAGCTCTGATTTTTCTACAGAGGCTGCCAGGCCATGAATCCATGTAACTTACAGCAAAATGGATCAACATTGAAACAATACTTCTTTTCCATGACAATTCCTGTGGTTTTCCAGGTTTAAAGGTCAAGAAGCCACTTTCACACCTACTGAAATAAGGCAAGTGTGAAAGGTAAGTAAGGGTGTACAGTGACAGGTGGGTGAATAATTCAGGTGGGCAAGGGGTTAAGTGGGTGAGGGGTTAGGATAAAGTGGTGGGTAAAAGGTTGAGTGAGTGGAAGATGAGTGTTAAGTGTAAGTTGGGTTAGGGTGGAGGCAGCTGTGGCTGTTGGGACTGCCTAGACGGATACTGTTCCAAATGGGGGTAATCAAAGTCAAAAATCACAACACCAGGTTATAGTTAAACAGGTTTGAAATCACAAGCGGTAGGAGAGCAGCCCTTTCGTCAGGTGCAGTGAGAGGATAGCACACAGACAGTTTACAGGCAGAGAGAGATCAAAAGATCATACAACTGGTGCGAGTGGAGTGAACAAACCTAAAATGGCTCACTGACTGCCTCCTGTTGAATCTTTAATCATTCATACATTCCTGCATTCTGGAAATTGCAGAAGAAGTGTATGGAGAACTCTGTCAGAAAGGAGATGCAAGTTTTGATAGATTCTAGAATTTGCATCTTAAATCAATTTCAAGTCACTGCCCTGAGATAATTCAAAGATTTCATCAGTGTCTGCCTAACTTTCCAAACAAACAGGCAGAGCAATAGGAATATACAAAAAGGTGACATTTCAGGTCAGACATTGAATTGTAGGTATAAGGCCTTGTCCAGAATTGGTCTCAGTTTGAACCTGGAATCAGGCTGGTTTTGTTCCAAAAGCAGGAATTTAAGGGGTTGGTAAGGGTGGATGTTCAAGTACAGTAATAGCTTTCTTGTTTTCAGTTCAGAAGTCTTGAAGGCAAAAGTAGTAATTACATATGGTCTCAATATAGTGGTTTCTAAATGCACCTTGAGCCCATATTTCTAACTGTACTGTCACAACTCTAAGTTGTTTCTGCTTTGTGGAAAAAAGTACCAAGGCTAACACCAGGAAATGACATGTATTGGAAGATATTCAAAGGCAGGAGGTAATTGAGGCAGGAACTTTGTGAAGGGAAAGAACATTCAAAGCCAATTCCATTGATTTGCTTTGATCTACCGACTTGAGTTTTTTTAAAATTATGTGGTGAACAGTTTATTTTTGGTGATGCCAAAACTAAAGTTTGAAATAATCATGTGCAAAACAAACCAAATATGCTTGTTAATGGAAAGTGTTAAAATTCCATCAAATTGTAAACTTACTGTTTCATTGCTACTTCTTTGAGACATTCCTAAGAACCACTACTTTGACGAAACATTTGTTCATCTGGCCCAGCACCACCTCAGTATTAAAATTAGTTTTCTAATGCTTCTATAAAGCATTTTACTGCTTTAAAGGTACTACACAGATACAGTTTGTTGCTGAACTCCTGTGGTGTTACAAACAGTGAATCAAAATGAAGGGAAATATTGTAGTTAAGCAGTGATTTGGGTCAGGGAGTGTTAGAAGTGGACCAAGAACAGGGAATAAAAAGATAACAGATAGCACAGGAAAAAGATTTTGCAGAGGTGGGAAGAGGGAGGAAGAACAGGAGAGGACCAAGGAGTCGATTGGGTTTAGATCTTATGCTCCCCATTGGTGAGTTGAAGGCAGGTAAAATCCAGCATGTGGCCTTCTGCCTGCCTATCTACCCTGCCCTGCCCCCAACCTGACTGAAATGTAAGTGATATGTGGGTATCCTATTGGGCCGATTGACCACTAAAGGCTTGGGTTGTTACCTGCAGTGAAGGGAGGCCCAAACCATGTGGGAAACTCAGCAGCTTCAGCTGTAGGGGCTGAAATTGGACAACGTGCTGGCCTTCTTTGGAGGCACTTGGGCTCAGCAGTGCTAAGTCCCTCAAGATCATTCCCTCTCTTCAATCCTCCCCATGGTGTCTCGATCCCAGCCTCCCAAACCCCAATCCACTGGTGGCAAACATTAGAAAGGTAACTCATTGAGATGGAACATGATAAAATAGTCCTTGTTGAGAAGGTTTGGGGTGCTCAATTCAGCATTCAATGCCTAGCGAGTTGAAACAAAGTAAAAGTAATTTACCTGGGCTCTGCGGCAAACCCAATAGCTGTAATGGGATCTGTGCTGCTGAGCACGACAGTGTTGTGGATGCTTAAGATTTTGCAGAAATATGAACCATGAACAATCTATTTTTCAGATATTTAGACCCCAGATTATCACTGAGGAATTTCTTGTCAACTGTGGCGCATTGCTAGTAAGTAAAGAATTACCAATCGCTGTAATTGATTTTCCAATAAAAGGAAAAGGAATTGGCTTGGGTTTAAATATTATGCCTGATGACATCCCAAACTATTCAGAGCCAATCATTTACTTTTGACACCCACAAGCCATAAATACAAGCTTAGGTAAACAATTGATCTATTGAAGAATTACTGCATCCTACATTAAAGAAATAGAGTAAAGCTATCCACTCTTCCATAAGGAATAAATAAAAAAAGTTTACTTTTATAATAAAGTGTTATGAATTATCACACTGTAGTCATAATAATTGCTGCTCCTCCATACAAGCTTATAGACTGGTTTCTGACATTTTAATGTATCTGCACAACTTCCATGGTATTTAGTGACACCACTATTCTTCCTCCGAATGAGAATAACTATGTAATTCCCGTTCAGTCAAATCTGGACTGACTGTTGTGTGACTGGGATGGATTCTGTTAACATGACTTGCATGTAACTATCCATTACTTATTGAATTTTGATAGAGATATCACCCTGCTTTTATCAGGAAGTGTTGCTATAGTTTTGATTAGGAGTTCAACTTCCTTTAGTTAGTTCTTTTAAAAAATAGACTGTTGACTTTGCTGTAGTGCACATGCAAATAAATTACTGAGTAAATAGAGTTTGCCAGCAGTAAGATATGCTAATTGCTCCAAGTCCTTCCACAAGTTCAACCCCATTTCCCACTCACTGATACAGAGCAACTCATCACCTGGTTTAATTGTATTGCAGCAGTTTTCACAGCTGCTTCACTAACTTCCCATTAAATGAATTTTTGAATGGACTGGAATATCGAAGCCACTTCTAACTATTGCCTTTATAAATATTTAAAAACACTATTTTTGCAAATCCTTGACTTGGCATAAAAATGAAAATATGATTATAAACTGCCTGAATATTGAATTCAAAAATTGGGTCTTTAGTTCAATAATGCTGGAAATCAGAAATTGCTACAGAAACTCAGCTGGTCGGCATCTATGGGGAGAAAGCAGAGTTAATCTTTTGAGTTTCGAAACCTGTATTTAGAATTGGTAGAAGCTACGAAAAAAGTGGTATTTATGGTGCAAATGGGGTGCTGGGAAGATAAGCTGATAGGTAGAGATGGAACCCAGAGCGCATGAGAGAGAGAGAGAGAGAGAGAGAACACGAGATCACTGAAAAGGGAAACAGATAAGGGGATTGATGGTAGGCCGGGACAGAAGGGAAGCTGAATAAGTGATAGAGAGCTAAGAGAGAATGGGTAGACTGTATTGAAAGCAACCTCAATCATGTGATAAAAGGACTAAGTAGGTCAGAGAGGGTTGGCTGTGCTGAAAGCGACCCATATCACGACAGGACTGGGACCAGGGTGTGGGGGATGGGCAAAAACATGGATGGACAAAAACATGGATGGACAGAATCAGGTTCTAAAGTTATTGAACTTAATGTTGAGCCGTAGAGGCTACAGGGTCCTCAACCTGCAACAACATAGATACCAATGCTGCTCTGGAACCTTCCTCACCTCCCCTTCCCTCTGATTTCACCCTTTCTTCTAAAACCTACCTATTGTCGAGTATTTACTACTCCTTCTGACATTCCATTTGGTTACTGGAATTTCATCCTAAACAAAGGTCTTAGCTTTTTCCTTCTTCGCCTCCACCTCCATGGGTTTCTGGCACGACATAACATTGAACTCTTCATCCTTCACCTCTGCCTCTGTGCCCATTTCTTTGGATGAGTCCTCTCCCTGTTCCACAGACCTCTTCACTGGCCTTCAACACCATCCTCCATTTGGATCCCTTTGGCCATTTGCCTGCACGCGACCGGTCATTGAGAACTACTGACGTTACGTCTGTCAGCTTAATTTCTCTGTTCCCCTAACCTATTCAAAAATATCTATCTGATTGCACTCCGTGCTCTCAGATCCAATCCTGACTTGTGATCAAGCCTGCTGGCAAGGATGGTGCTGTTGTCTGTCATACTGACGTTTATATTGTGGAAGTTGAGTGTCAGCTCTCAGACACCTCCTCCTGGTCCATGACTACACCATCGAGCATCAGGCCATTGCTGTCACCAAATTCATCTCCCCTGGGAATCTCCCTGCAACTCAACTGCCTCCTAACTCACAGTCCCCCAACCATGTATGCCCTGCTTCTACCTTCTCCCCAAAATCCACAGACAGGAATGCCTGGGCAAACTGTTTCTATCTGTTCCTGCCCCATGGAATTTTTTTTCTCCCCTTGTTCAGTCCCTACCCACTTACATACACAATTCTTTAGATGCTTTACATCGGTTTCAAAGTTTCCAGTTTGCAGAAACCAGCTGCCTCCTCTTTACCATGGACATGCAGTCCCTTTACACATGCACGATGGTCTCGGCTCTGCTTCTTCCTAGAAAAAAGCCTGAACTGACTGCAATCACCACCATCTTTCACCTGTCTGAGCTCATCCTCATTTTGAAATTCCTTAACTCCTCTGACTTTCTTCAGATCAGATGTGTGGCCATGGGTACCGGGATGTGCCCCAGTTATGCCTCTGTTTGTTGGGTAGGTGGAACATTCCTTGTTTCAATTCTACTTGGGCCCCCACCCACAACTGTTTCTCTGGTACATTGATGACATCGGCACTGTTCCCCTCTTTCATTTGGAACTGGAAGAATTTATCAATTTCGCTTACAATTTCCTCCCTGATATCACCTTAACTTGATCCATCTTGGACTCCTTCTTTTCCTTCAGGTTCCATTTCTGGGGATAGGCTGGTCACCAGCATCCATTACAAACTCAACTCCCATGGTTACCTCAACTGTACATCCTCACACTGCTACCTGTAAGGACGCCACTCCATTCTGCTTCTGTTTCCATCACATCTGCTCTGATGCCACTTTCTGCGGGAGGGGCCTCAGAAATGTCCACCTGTTTTCTCAACCGAGGATTCCCTGCTACCTTGGCGTCCTTGTCTGACCCACCTCCTGCACATCGACCATCACTCCTTTTTCCTCCCACAACTGAGAGAGAATACCCCTGGTGCTCACTTGCCAACCAACCAGCCTCCACATTCGGCAATCAAATGCTGCCATTTCTATAACCTCCAATGGGATGCCATGATCAGACACGCATTCCCTTGAAATGAATGCACAGAGGCCAGTATCCTCTCACCAAATCACCCATTATTTACACAGAGTCCAGCTTCTTCAGAGCGAACAGAACCTCTGACACTATTGTTTATATCTGTCAGCCAGAACTCCCTGATTGGGGCTGTTAATCTGGTCCCATCAGGGAACTCATTAAGAATTCCACCTGGCTGGCATCGCTACAGTCATTACATCCCTCTCCCTGCAGATCTGATGACATAGGCTAATTCTTTATTTTGCAGCTCCTGCTGGGGTGTTTCAGCACCGGGTCAGGCTTCTCCAACTCTGCCTCTGATATGGGCGGCATGTAAGATACAATAGCTCGCCTCTTGTGCCTGGAACGTCTTTGAAGATATTCATTCTTGTCTTCAGGCACAAAGGTATTGAGGTAGTAACATTCACCATTTCCATCCCAAATTCCAACGTATCTTCAATGCTTCACAGAGAAGGAAATCCCACAGATTCCGGAACAGTTGGAAAGCGTTGAGGAACTGGACAAGTTTTGCTCCTGCCCTGTTTGTGAATGTGCAGCTTTCATATGGTCCATGTGCTTGTTCTGGACTGTTGCACCTGCCTAAGCTTTAGACATCACTGGACCTGACCTCACATTGACCATGCCGCTTATCATGCAGGGCCATTCGCATGGTTCCTACACCAAACTTCATCCCCTGAAGAAAACTGTCTCACTTAGTAGAGTGTTGTGTCTGGCAATCACATTCCTGATGTTGTTTCACCCTCCCAGGTCCGGGAAGATCAGATTTAACCTGGTGCGGAGTCTTCTCCCCATTAGCACCTCTGCCGGAACTATCCCTGTAGTTGTGTGAGGGAACAGGAACTGGGACAGTTCGGTATCTAGTGAAGCTGTAGGCTGTTTCTTTAATCCTACCTTCAAAGTTTGAACTGCTCCATCTGCCAGATCTTTGGATGATGGCTGGTCTGGAGATGTCCTTATGTGACAAGTATCATTCGATTTTAGAAAATACTCCAATTCCCTACTGGTAAATGATGGCCCATTATCAGTGACCACCACTTCCGTGTATTGCAAAAGATGCACACAGTTTTTTATTGTTGTCCCTGTGTTTAATGAATTAATTCAGTGTACACACAGCCATTTTGAATGGGTGTCCTCAATGACTAAGAACATTGAGCCCATGAAAGGATTTGCACTGTTGACATGTAACTGAGCCCAGGGTTTACCTGGCCATTCCCACAAATGTGGGAGGGGTGCTGGTAGTAACTTTTGACCTTTTTGGCATTCTGGGCACTGCTGCATCAACACAGCTATGTCTGCCCCCAAGCCTGGCCACCCAACATAATGTCTCACCAACATCTTCATTTTGGAAACCATGGATGACCCTGATAGAATTCAGCCAGTATCTGGTGGTGACCTTTGCTTGGGCAATCACTTGCTCCCATATTATGCTGTCCTATATTGTGATCTAGTCTCTGGGTCCAAAAAGGTTTCAATTCTGGTTGTGATGGTCCTTTGGTTTTCCCCATCACCACCAGCTGTTTCAGTTTTGCCAGGACCAGATCCCTCTACGTCCAAAGTATGATATCATCAGCTGATTGAAAGTAGGTCCAGAAAATTTAACACCATTACAGACCCTTCCAGTGGCAGTACCACTGGTGGTGTATCTGCCAGCAGGAGGCAGCTCAATGCACTAGGATTTGTTACTTGGCCTCCCGGACAGTGTTCTAACTTGTAATCATAAATACTTAGTATTACAGCCTACTACTGAATTCGGCCTGAAGCAATGAGCAGCACTGCCTTGTTCTGTTTCAGTAGACCCAACAGAGGTTTGTCGTCATTATTATTACAAATTGGTGGCCATAAAAGATATTGTATCCACTTCCTGACTCTAAATATGACTGCCAGACCTTCCTTGTCTATCTTGGCGCAATTATGCTCAGCATTAGCCAAGTCCTGGATGCATACATTATTGAGCGTTCCTCTCCACTGGACCACCTAAAAGCTAATACTACCCCAACGCCGTATATGGGGAGGTATTGTATGTCAATGCCAGATCTCGTCTGGGATCATAGTGTGCCAACATCTTGGAGGATGATAGTTGTCTCTTCAATTCTGTCTTGGCTGCACAGCCATTTCCAAGATGGACCCTCATCTAAGAGTTGATTCATAGGTGCCAGGATGGAGGCAAGGTTATGTATTAGCTTTCTGCAATAATTCACCAGTCCAAAGAAAGACCTAAGCTCTGGTACAGATGTGGGAGTCGGGGCAGCTTTGATTGCTCTCACTTTATCTTCCAATGGATGTAATTCGGTCTTATCAATTCTTGTAGCCTGAGTCATTGAGATGTGTAGCATGGAAACAGACCCTTTGGTCCAACTCATCCATGCTGGCCAGATATCCCAAATTAATCTGGCCCTATTTGCCAGCTTTTGGCCCATTTCCCTCTAAACCCTTCCAATTCATATCCCTATCCAGATGTTTGTTAAATGTTGTAATTGTACCCACCTCCACCACTTCCTCTGGCAGCTTGTTCCGTTCATGCACCACCCGCCACGTGAAAAAGTTGCCCCTTAGGTGCCTTTTAAATCTTTCCCCTCTCGCCTTAAACGTATGCCCTCTAGTTTTGGGCTCCCTAGCCTGGGGAAAAGCTTGACCATTCACCCTATCCATGCCCCTCATGATTTTATAAGCTTCTATAAAGGTCACCCCTTGGGGTGCCTGGAACACATTTTTCCTTTCTAAGGTGTACACCCAGCTGAGAGAAACATCAGAGGACTGTGTTTAAGTTCTCCTTATTGATCTTCCCTCTGATTAGCACATCATCTAGATAAATGGCGACCTGGAGAGACATTGAAAATGTTCTCCATTATCTGCTAAAAAATTGCAGAACTAACAATACCCCAGATGGCAGTCCCCTATGTTGGTACAGGCCTTTATTGGTAGTAATTGTAGCATACTTTTGGGAATCTTCACTTGATAATATTTGCAAGTATGAATAGCTCATGTCCAGCTTCATGAAGGACAGCACACCACCCCGCTTCCCCCTCCACCCTCCACCCTCCACATGCGTATAAATCCTCTATACAATGAATTGGGTATTTAGCCAGCTGTGAAAAATGGTTTACCGTTTAAAATCCCCAGAAAAGATTAACTGACTAGTCCAGTTAAGGACAGGGCAGCACTGGTCGTGCCAATTATGAAGCTCAACAGGTTTCCTTCACTTTCCAGGCTTCTGATATCTGCCTCTACTTCTGCCTGTAAGGCAAGTTACACAGGGCGGACCTTGCAGAAATGTGGAATTGCTTCCTGAGCAACATGTAAGGTGGCCTTGGCTCCTTTGATAGTCCCTACAGAGTCCTGAAAAACCGCTGGGTATTTAATTAGGGCTTCATTCAGGCAGACATTTTCTAATCGAGAAGTGTTGATCAAATCTAGGTGATTCTTTCTGAACCAATTTCACTCCATCAAGCTTGGGTGTGAGCCTTTTACTACAATCAGTTATAACTGGACCAACTGCTTCTCATAAGAGACCAGAATCGAAGTTGTACCCTTAACCTGGAAAGCGAAGGTATGATCAAACCAGTCCAGTTAAGGAAATGGCAGCACTGGTCGTACCAATTTGAAGTCCAATGGGTCAGTTCACCTTTTCTGGGAACTTTAAACATACAGTAAACAGCTTTTCACAGCTGGATAAATATCCAGTCCGTCATATAGAAGATTTATATATAAAGTGGGGGTGTGCTGTCCTTAATGAAGCTGGACAGGAGCCATTCATACATGCCCCATTGTAGGTTCTCAATCTAGCCAAGGTCTTGCCCAAATTTAAGGTTGGAGTCCACAGTGAATTTTGTTAAAGATTAGTTCTGAGACCACCGAAATGGCCACAGTGGTATCAACCTCCATTAGAACTGGGCAACCATTTAATCAGATGTTTATTTTGACTGGTTCTGATTTGGATGTTGCTACACAATTTAACTATTCCAAACTAGATGTATGTGTGCTCTCCTGAATACTGGTCTTGGAGTTCTCTTCCTCAGATTAAGTCCAGTAGGATTCTTCTCCTGTCTCAAGTCTGCACGCTGGCAGCAACTACAATGGCTGGCCAGTCCCAATCCTAACAGAGATTCTAACCATTTGGCTGTGGCTTGGCTTTGTTTTGGGGTTTTGCAGTTAGCTGACCTAGAGTACCTCCATTCAGGATGAGTCCTGAATGCAGCTATGCAATTGCCTTCACTCAAGGTGTGGGGGGGTTCCCCAAGCTCAGTCAGACTGACAAGGGTGTCGACTTCTATTGGAATACCCTGCAACTTATATGCTCACTTGCCACATTTTTCAATGTGAATGTCAGTTGTAGTGCCTATTTGAAGTCCAGTTGGGCTTCAGCTAGTAGGTACTTTTGCATGGTTACATCATTAATCCCACATACCAAACAAACAGTCTCTCAGCATCTTGAGAAGGATTAAACCAAAGTCACATGCTTCTACCAGTCATCTTAACCAAGTCAAAAATCCTGATACAGATTCCTCTGGTTTCAGAATTGCCAAGTAAAACCAATAGCATCTCAGAATTACAGGAAGCTTGGCATTGTAATATTCCTTAATTAAATCCATCAACTCTTGAAAGGTTTTAGTATCTGGTGTCTCAGGGAAAGTTAGGTTCCTAATAACTGAAGAAATTGCAGGTCCACAGGCTGCCTGGAGAATTACTCATTGCTTTTCTTTTTCCCAGAAAAAAAATAACACATTCTTCCCACATACTGGGCCAGTCTTCAACAGCAGGATTGAAGAAGTGAGACAACAAGGTGCAGGGCTGGATGAACACAGCAGGCCAAGCAGCATCATAGGAGCAGAGAGGCTGACG